ATGTGAGCCTCGGGCTCTGCAAGTCTAGGGACTGGGACTTAATCACCCATTAACACAGGCACACCCCTCAAGATCTGGGACCTCCACCCCTCAGGCCTGCGATAGGCTTCCCGTATCCGTCACTGAAAATCTTATGCCATATTTTCTACAATTCCTCCAAGACATCTGGGGAGCTGTTTCCAGCTACGCTGACGTGAGACATTAAAATCATGGGTCTCTTTTACTGCTGCTCCTTTCTCTTAGATACTTCAAGGGAGCGGAGATACACTCGCCTTTGACTTTAAGTCACTGACCTGGGATTCAGAAGGTAAAAATCTGGTCCCAGTTAGGGTACTAACTCACCAGCAACAGGCCCCCCCTCATGAGGCCGCCTGTTTTCTCAACTGTGAAGTTTTATGTCCTAGAGCCTCCAAGCGTCCCTCCACTACCCACTTAACCCAGGGAGACGCCACAGTGACAGAAAGATAGTGTGTTCAAAACGGGTTATCTTGCTAAGGTTCTCTTAGGGAGGCACATGCCGGGAGGCTTCCGAATTTTCATCCACCTTACCAAAATTTTGGAGGTCAGATGTCATCCTCATTGGATGTTGCCCTCCTCTGTCAGTTCTAGCACCTGGTAGGGATACTTGGAGACCCGAAGGTGAGAGGGTCGGTCCACCGCCCCAGGCGGGGGGGGGGGGGGAACTCTGCTAGGATCTACCACTAGGTGGCAGACTCAGTCCGTTCGAAAATCATCGCGCAGCCACAGCCTTCCACAACAGACTGCCCCCCACTTTTTTTTTTTTTTGGATCTGTTAGCGGGAGGAGGTTGCCTCTATAAGCAACGCTGCAAAACATTTAATTTACTGGATGTAATTCCGTTCTTCCCGATGCTCACTCCTCTCGTAACCACAACGCGGTCTCTGGAGCAGCGTTCATGTATTATACGTTGATTTTTCCAGCCCAAAAGGCTGAACGTATTAGAAGGGAAGGAAAGAGTGCGCTTGTCTTTAAAAAGCAGAATGGAACTCGAAGGTATTAGCAGAGCTTCTTGCCAAACACTGGTCGACTAGAAAAGAAAGTCGGGAATAAACTCGAGAAAGGGCCCTGGAGGCCAAGGGCAGGGTTCCACCCAGGCTTACAGCGCTCGGTAAAGGCGGAGGGTGGGGAAAGGGGGGCTGAGTTTTGTCTTTTGGCGGGGCTGCTGGTCACAGACTGGGAGGCGGGGAGAACTGGGAAGAGCCATTCCTGGCTTCCAGTGGGGCGAAGAGAAAGGGGCCGGCTTCGCCACAACACAGCACCCTCGCTCGGATCACTGCGGCGGCATTCCCACTTGTTGCGCAGTGCAGGAAGCCGGCACGCGCCACACTACTTCGACTCCCAGAAGGCTCCAAACCCAGCTACGGACCAGCCTACCATTGCCCCACGCCACAAACCTCCGTCCCCAACCCAGCCCCCAGTAGACACCACCATCACCGCCAGCAAAACTACAGGACTTCCCATCACTGGTTTGTTTTTACACCGAGACATTCCTCCTTATCTCAGTGTCAGACTGGCAACAGAATTCAGGTGCTCTGAGAAGTCAAGTCCAAGGCGGAAGGAGGCTACCTCCGTCTGGAGAACTCACCTACTTCAAGCCAACTAGGCAACCCTCCCCGCCCGGGCGCGCGCGCGCGCGCGCACACACACACACACACACACACACACACACACACTCGAACTTCTTTGCCTCTTATGACACTCTCCTAGCTGGAAAGCAACGCTTTTCCACCCCATTTGAGAAATCAACTACAAAGTCCTTTTTTTAAAGTTAGTTTTATCTCCCCTTTCTAAAGAAAAAAAATCCTCATAAGGTCATTTCACAATGTTTTTCAAATATTTGACTTTTGCAAATAGAGTTTCACCCACCAAGGGGTGGCGCTGCCGCACTACCTCCTCCGAATCTCTTCAAGTTTTTCACAATAAAGTGGGTTGTGAGTGTGGCTACCGGGCAGGGGAGAGAGGGAAGGAAGGATTTTGACATCTAGTCCTGGCTACCATTTACTCAACCAATAACTGGAACTCTTCAAGGCTCAGCAAACGACAGCTTAAGAGTTTAGAGTCCCATCCCTGTCCAGCAAACCCAGAATAAATTGGAGAGTCTTTTCAAGAAAGCATGGGGGTAAAACCCTTCACAATTGAGCACAGAAGAAAAGGCCAATTGGAGAATTCCCTCTTCTGGCTTCCTTCTCCTTCAAGCTGCCCAGTTTACCAACAGCTTCTGGCCTTATTGTCCCTATCAACAGACCCTTAAAAATCAGCCAGTGCTTGGGCCTGCAGTATTGGAAAGTCTTCCAAATTGGATATTGGAAACTTCTATTTATAAGTGGGGGGAGGGGGAATATTTCCCATCTACAGGTTTCTATTTCAGCCTGAGGACCCAACTGGAGTCATTTTAGCAAGAGAATGCCCATCTCCTGGCGCCCTCTTTCCATTTCCTCCTCCCCCCAGAGACAGTATTCTTTCTCCTTACCCCCCCCCAAAGGTATATATTTTAAAGCAAGAATGTGATTTCACCTCATTCCTTTGAGCTCATGTTTGCTACCTCCAGGAATAGCGTGTGGACTAGGGCCAGATGAACTTCAACTTGGGCTGCAGATTTACGAGGCTCTGTTCCAGTGCCAAAGGCTCTTGGTAGTAAATAGTGAGCAAAATAGATACCTGTCTCCTGACAGATCTTGCCGGCCCCCCTCTTATTTTTTTAAGTATTTATTAAAACCACACACACCTTGCAAAGAAAAAGGGAAACTGGCAGTCTCTGTAGAGGAAGCTGGTGGCACTGCTCAGAGCCACAAACTGTATTTCTAAACAGCCCTTTCCCTGGTTCCCTCTGTCCTGCCCCAGTTTTTTGGTTTTTTGGTTTTGTTTTGTTTTTGACAGAAAAAAAAAAAAAGCATCTATTGATACTTTACTTAAAAAAAAAAGTAAAGAGTTACAAGATTTTCCTCCTGGAAACTATAAACTGAATGGGAAAAAAAAAATCCATAAAAGATTAAATCAGTTTCCTGTGGCTACTGGTGGTGGGGGAGATGACCAGCTCTCTGTGGTGGTCAGGAACCCAGTAACAGCTCTGGACTTTCAGTACCCTATTTGGGGTCTTTCTCCCGGTTCAGCTGCTGGACCCCCACCACCGCCTCTTAAGCATTGCAAAGGGGGGCACCCCATAAAAGGGTTCTTTTTCATTCTTCTTCTTCTTCTTTTTAATCTATTGGGTTGTGTTTTTGTTTTCCATGGGGGACCTTTAAAACTCATTATTATAACACTAGATCCATTTTTCGCCAGAGTTCCAATAACACGGCATCATAAAGGCAACGCAATTCACAGTTCTCAAGACACTGACCACGGTCACTAGCTCTCGCAGCAGGGTGGCCCCTAGCTCCCGCTGCCCAAGAGCGCAGCCCATTTCCGAGGCTCCAACTCCCCACCGGCTCCCGCCCCGGGCCGCCGCCGCCGCCGCCTTCCCCCATTCTTACTCCCTCGAGGAGAGCCACAGGTTGCAAATCCAACCAACCTCGCAATCCGTTTTTGCAAAATCACTCACAAAGATCTCCCTTTCGCGCCCGCGCCCCCTCCTCCCGCGCCGGGTCCCTCATCCAGGGCGACAGCGTGCCCTTCTCTCCTCCCGGGTCTTGCACGTAGGAACGCGGGCTGGGGCTGTTTGTTTTTCCCCTCGCCCCGTGCAAGGACCTCGGGAACCTGAAGCCTGACGTCGGCTACTCTCCAGTCTGCAGTTGTCTTTTTACAAAGCTCGCACCATGGGAAAAAATAAGACAAAATTTAGGAGAGGCGGGGGAACAGCCATTGGGAGCTAACACCGAGTCACGCAGCGCCCAAAACACAAACACCGCGACCGCCAGAAATCCCGCCACCTTCCCGCTTGGCTGGGCCGTCCTGTGAAGGTTCCCGGAGTCCCCGCACGCTAAACGGCACCGCAGGTGCAAACGCGCACCCCTTTGCCACCCACCCCCCAAATCCCTGTCCCGCCACCAGCCTCTCTCCTCAGGATGGGGAGAGGGAGCGCGCGGGGGTTCCCGACTCCCTCGACTGCAACCAAGGAAGAATAATTTTCAAAGTATTCAACATCCCCGCCCCCAGGCAAGCTAAACCTCCCCCAAAACACAGGGTAAGGGGACACCAAAACACTCGGATCTCGTTAGGAAGATCGCGGCTCTAAAAGGAAATAGTAGAAACGATACTTCAACTGGGCTTATCGGGGGGGGGGGAGAAAAACAAAACCCGAGGAGTTCGCTTGCATTTTTCCTCCCAAATCTCGGCTCCGAGGCAGGGAATCTAGAGGAGCGAGGCCGGTGGAAGGGAGCCAGCGGGGCGAGCGAGCGGGCAGCCTCCCTCCTCGCCTCCCGGAGTCACCAAGAAGGACGGGAGAGGAGAAGGAAGGAGAGGCGAGGGAGAGGAGGAGGGAGGGAGGGAAGGGGAGGCAGGAGCGAGGGAGCGAGGAAGGCAGTTTGCAAGCGAGAAAAGAGGGAAAAAACACAGCCGCCCGAATCCAGCGAGATCACAAGCCGTACGCAAGCAGCAGCAGAAAGAGCGAGAGCGCGAGCGCGCGTCCTCTCCGTCGTCTGGGGCCAGACAGCCCCCAGACTTGCCCGGAGCACCCCCCAAACACTGTCTCGTCCTCTGGGCTCCGGCCGCCCCCTAATTCCCCTCCTTCCTCTCCTCCACCTCCTTTTCCAAAATCAAAACAACACAAGGGAGGGTGGCAAAAGCCTCCCCAAACCGGCCGATGCACTCAAAGACAACAAGAATAAAATAATAAATATATAAAAATCTATATCCTAGAGTGGGAGAGACGTGGGACTAATCTTCGGCATTTATTTTAACACCTGACAGCTAGAATAAATAAATATATACATTTATATCAATAGATACACATAGGAAACTTGGAGCCAAAGCATTTGGCAAGAGCGGAAAAAAAAAGAATTAAAAGGTAAAATAATGATCATGAGCAGCGGCGGCGGCAGCGGCACCAGCGGCACCAGCGGCGGCGGCGGCAGCAGCAGCAGCGGCAGCAGCAACAGCAATAATCACCTGGTGTCCGGCCTTTCCTAGAAACTTCTTGCATCACCACTTCTAAGAACCCCAGTTCTAAGAATCAACAGAGCTCAATTCTCGGAATTTGAGCTGCGGACTTTACCACTGCTACGTGGCAGGGGAGGACTCGGTGTCAGCTCTCCGGGACTTTTGCCTCTTTGGGCCCATGGAAAGCCCTCAAAGCCACAGTGTTTTTCCAGTTCTCGGCAGATTTCGAGGTCCTCAGCGGCTGGGCGTCTCAGATTTGGAGGTTCCGGTTCGAGGCTCGAGGGGCCAGACGGCGTCCCTCCCTCCCGGGGCCCCGCACGATGGTACGGCCTGCTCCGCCAGCGTCACGTGGGCGCCCCCTCTGTGACGTCGGCGTCTTCGCTGTAGCAAAGCTCGGCCTCTGGAATTCTGAGAACTAATTTGCTATTCGGTGACATAAGAGGGGGAGTGCGCTTTGCTTTCCCGGGGTCTGGGGCTAATTCCTCCTCTCTTACCCATAAACTCAGCTCCTCGAGCTAAATACACAAAAGGGAGCGAGAGGTTCGACCCGTTGGAAAAAGTCTGTTATATATAGTAGCTTTAGAGGCGAGGGAGAGAAAAAAACAATAAACACCACAGCTCTTTTCAGCTAGAATATTAGGCACCACGAGAAAAATATTTGCCAAGCAGTTTTCGGTGGGTTCATTTGCTTTATTTTATTTGGGACGTTTTTTGGTTCTGTTTTTTTTTCCTCGTTGATGTGGTGGCTTGGGATTTTGGGGTGGTTGTATTTTGATGATTTTCCGATTTTTTTTTGCTTCTGATTTTTGCCTTTTGTAAGTTTGTGGTGTTACGTAAATAGTAGGATCCCGCATCGGTTGGATTTTGTTTTGTGTGTGTGTGCCTTTTTTCCCTATCTAATCCCTCAGGCGTTTTAAAGAGGATGTGTTATTTTAATATTGATACTATTGAAAGCAGCTTCAGTTTTTGATCGCATGTAACAATCCCAACCCCCACTTTTTTGCGGGGGGTGCAATTTTCTCCTTCTCTTTGGACTTCTTGCTGAGAGGAGGCTCTCCTGCACTTGAGAGACAAGTTCAAAGGATTTGTTTTGGTTTGGTTTGTTTCTTTCCAGGACAGCGAGTGGTGGGTTTACTCTTTCTGTTATTGTTGACTGTTAGGAAATTTCTTGTTGAAGGAAACGTGTGTGTATTTGGGTATGTGTACGCATGTGTTCTACAAAATTATGTGAGCCAAATACATGTTTGTGTTTTGCTTTTTTTTAAGGTCTTGATCCCCCGCGCCCCCCCTCCACCCCCGGCTCGTTTCAAGGTCGTTGTAAAAAAAATCTCTTCTGTCTGTGTTTAAGAGATCAGCCGGAGGGAATTCTAAAGGCCTGCCGTGCCAGTATCACAGATACTGCGTGTATTTAGAACAGCCTGTGCTACAACTACGGCGCTCCGCACGCAGCACAGGCTCCCTAGCTTCGGAGCTCACTTGGGAGGAGGAGGAGAAGGGGGGAAATTCTTTCTTTCTTTCTCTTTTCTTTCTTTCTTTCTTTCTTTCTTTCTTTCTTTCTTTCTTTCTTTCTTTCTTCTTTCCTTTCTTTTTAAAGGCAAATGCAGTGCAGAATCATTTCACTGTGGGCCTTGGTTTGTTTATTCAGAACTGCCAGTTTCCCTATTTAAATGTTGGTTGGGGTTTTTTCCCCTCCTACTCATCCCCGAATGAGGGAGACTCTTGTTTCTTTTATGTCTCTCTCTTAAAAGAAGGGTGTGAGGGGAAAATAATATTTCAGATTCCTCAAGAATTAACCCAAAATGTTTGGGCCAGAAGCAGCTTTCAAAAGGTCAGGCTGTTCTGAGCCTTGGCTATGAGAGTCCTTCAGGCGACTCATTAAATTACAGATGAGTTCTTAAAGGTTCCACAAAATTTCTGCACATGTTAATTTCCGAAAAAGATATGTCCCAAAATAATCTACCTCTCCCAACCTCAGATCTGGGTTTATAATGGAGAAGTGAGCAGAGCTACGAAAGATTACGGGCTATTTCCTGGGGTATTTGGGATCTCTTTCCCAGGAAAAGTCCATAAGAAGTTCAGATCTGTTACTGAAAATGTTATTGTCAATGCACCCCCCACCACCACCACCTTTAAAAGGCTGTGTTGGGAATTTTAGAACCAGAAGAGGTCCAAAGGGGTTGGATTATTTTCCACAAGGTCTGGAGCTTAGGAAATATGCATAAGTGTCTGTTCCTATGAAATCTGAATATTTTAATACTTATTGACAGATGGATTACTGCAGCCTCTGCAGAAAAGCCTGTCTTGTAAAGGATTTTTGAAAAATATACATAGGCCTAATCCTGTCACTGTTGTTGAAATGAACATTTTACCCCCAAAGACACATGATATTGTCAAGTGCAGATTCATTCTGCCAGAAGGAGGACTATCTGCTTTTTTATTGTCTCCTTCCCCTTCCTTTTCAGAGTTTTAAATGAATTCCACTGGATTCAAAATGATACCCCGATTTTGCTGAAGTGATTTTCTCCGTGCATTTAGATGTGTGATATTTTTTCTATCTTTGAGAGCAGTAAGAACTTCAAGGTTTCTCAGGTGTGTCTATATATGGTTTGGAATGTGAAATGTATGGCTCTGCCCTATTATTGATCCTACGATGGAGATTACTTTTATGATTTTTGGTCACTTTTCTAATCAAAGTTGCCATCCTGCCTGCTTCATTGGTTCCCTGCCGTTTCCCCCCCAACCCCAACCTTAAACACAGTTTGTCCCTCTGCGTTCTCTTTGCCACTCCAATCTTAGCCCCATGGGGGCGCTGCAGAGCAGAGGGAAATCTGCTCCCACTGGCAGTAGAACTAGCCAGAATGGGGGCTGGGAAGGAATTCACCCTTCTTGTACCTCAGAACTTTTCAATTCTTTGCAGGGAGCCCTTGGAGGGAAAACCCACCAGGCCTAGTTTATAGATAATTAAACCCACCGCCAGGGACCTCAAACCTTCTCAGCACATTATTTCTGGGACCAAGTGCCGGAGTCCCATATTTCTATGACCGTTGTTTTTTGTTTTTGTTTTTTTTGCCAAATCAGTGTTTACATTGAAAGAAATTGATCAGAAGGATGCTGTTAAAAGAAAAATAATATTGAAAATATTCTAAAGGTCGAGACTTTAGGTAGATCCCTTACTCTCCACTGAATGAACAGTGAAGAAAATTGTGCACCCACCTCTCAATCTCTTTCCAAATCCTGGGAGGGTAACTGTCAAATTTTATACCAGTTGAATTTCTTCCAGACTGTCCTTCTTTCTCTCATTCTTGATCTCTCCCCATCAGTAGCCAGTTGGCATCACCGTGTGGGCTCCCTCTCTCCAGCAGTGCTCTGTTATAGGATTAAAGAAAGGATTGACTTCAATATATTCAAATTCTTTTAAATCATCCTTAAGAAGCTCTAAAGAGAGTTTCCGTGTCTGGGGTCTTATGAGTGATTCCTGCAGACTTGGAGGGACTATGTATCAACCAGTGCTATGATTTAATGGTCACTGGCTATTAATACTCAGAATAGAGGACCAGGCCAGCCCCTACGCCCGGTGGACTGAGCATAGTAATAGGTTCCTGAGTGCAGCTGCCGGGTCAATATAAGCTTTGTTACAAATAAAATAGCCTGGTCCTAATATTACATCTATTCAAGGAAAGGAACAGATTTTGCATCCAGTTCCCCACAATTCAGTCATAGCTGAAAAGGAAGCTATCCTTGGAATAAATAAATACTGCCTTGTCCTCTCTTTAAGGGGGCTCCAAACAGGAAGTCGGTTTCACCTGTCAGGAGCTTCTGGTACCTTGGTAGATCTTTAAGCTATCACATCTCAGGATTATAGCTTTTAGAACTGGAAAGAACCTTGCAGATCAATCACACAACTCCCCCAGGCCTCTCTCTTTCGAGAGGACAGGCCTGCCCTCACCAGAGGCGTGGGTGACCCCAGGACACAACTGAAAATGGGTCTTCGTTTGACAGTCCTGCGTCATTTCAGAGAATGAGGGTGATCTGACTGCCTGGCTTCGGAGGAGGGTGTCCTGTTTTCTGGCAGAATTGGGGAAAGCAAGGCTGCTTTGGGTTCCTCGTTAACTGTAAATTGGTCCTCAGAACGAACTCCAGGTCATGATGCTACTACTGAGTTTTGATGGACATTTGGGTTTGGTTGTGTTTGTTCCCTGTGCTGTAGTACTCGACACTCCTTCTGATGGGTGTGGGAGATGCCGTCCACCTGATGCAGAAAATTTTACCTATTCCTTTTCTCTCAAATCCTTCATTTAGAGTTATTGTAGACAAGCTCCCTGTACTATCCTTGGAGAAAGAAGGGAGATTTCTTGGTATATTTTAGAGAAATTGAGCAGAAAGTTTTGAGACAGTAAAAGGAAAAACAGAAGACGATTTCCAGCTACTACCTTCTGAAAAAGAAGTGTCAACGTTTAATTTTGATCCATATGCTGCCTGCTTTCAGCCTGTTTTATTCTGAGACTTTTTTTTTCTTTAGAAACCTTTTCTAGCCCAGCTCAGACTTTCCCCCCAAAACACTGATTTTCCATACTTTTCTCACTTTTTAAAAATGGAAATAAATATCAGGAGCTTAAAATAGAGAAGTAATGGGGGGGCGCCTAATCATTTGTTTATTGCATTGGATCACTGTTTTGAATAGCAGGGTTTTCACTTCCTATGAAACTCTAGCATGAAGGAAAGCAGCAGCTGGACCAGGAAGGGATGAAGAGAGGAAAGCACTGGAGTGTTTGTAAACTCTGGGTAGCTGGCCCACCCTCCCTGCGGGTGCCTGCCGGTACTTAGCTGTCTTTACTACCTAAGGCTAGAAGTGGAAAAACTTGATTTGCGTGTTGTGCCTGCATTTTTTTCCCCCTTCTCCACACCGCCCTCTGTACACCTGACCGTGCAGAAGCCTATCTGAAGCCGGCTGGCTGGCAGGCAGAGTTGGAGAGCGGAAGAATGTGCGGAGGGAGGGAGCACTTCGGTACTTTTCCATTCACATCTCCACAGTGGCTTTTCTTGTTTATTTCACCCTCCACCCGCAGAAAGCTTTCAGCTGCCTGAAATTCGAGTCATTACACTGTTCCCTGAGGTCAGACTACAGATGCTTGGTGCATGTTTCCTACATGTTGGTGTCTATGTAACATATGTACATACAGAGACACACACACACATACGCACGCACACACAGGCACGCACACAAACATGTAACTCTCAGGGGCATGGTGTGAGGTAGGAAGGAAAAAAAAAAACAAACCTGGATTTGTTGCCAAAAAAACCTTGGCTTCTAATTACAGCTCTGCCTGGAACTCCCTTATGGAACCTGGAGCAAAACCACTTGTCAGGACTCAGTTTCCTCAGCCGTGTGAAGAAATAACCCCAATGATTTGCGTGATGTCTATCTGTTCTAAATTCTATACCTTTATATCCAAATACATCTTTACATAACTTTGAGGTGGGGGCAGAGGACGGAAAGGAGCTGTACCTGGCATGGGGGAAGGGGTTAAAATTTAAACTTCTAAGTAAAGAAGGCAGTCCCAGAATCCTCACCTCTATCAATTTTTAACCAATTGTAGACCAAAGTCTGGGGTTATGCTGAGTGGGTACAAAAACCAATTGAAGATTTTTAATGTTGAGTTGGAGGAGACAGGTTCTAAGACCTTGTACCTTTGATCTCCAGCATTCATAATCAGCTGTGACAGTTCCCAAGTGTCTCTTCAGCATTATCGTTCTTTTTTTTTTTTTTTTTTTGCCTTCTGTTTGTGTTTGGAAACTGTTCCAGTCAGTGATAGGAAGGAGATGACACTTGTAAACTGGGCAGTCTTTAAGCCACTGGGCCCCATGTGGATGTGAAAAATATGTCATAACATTCTCACACATACACACACACACACACACACACACACAAAGGAAGGAAAGAAAAAAAAAACCTAGAGAGAGATTCCTAGTAAGAAACTTAAAGGTAGATCAGCCATCACTACCTTAAAGGTAATTATTTGAAGTTAGAGGAAATAACAGATGAGGAGTTTGCCCTTACCAAAAAAAAAAAAAAAAAAAAAAAGGCTTGAACTTCCAGAACAAACTTGAAGGCAATAAAAGAGATACTTCAAATCAGTATTTCCTATACTTTTTTTGATCTCCATTCTTTAAAACAAAAGGTCTGAAGTTTCTCAGGCCTGATTGTCTAGATGAAATGAGGTCTTTAACAGACCTCTCGGCATCCTCAGGAAGTAATAAAACAGCCCCAATTTATTAGCAGTGACCTCCCTACCACCACCATTTCTCCTTTGGCTTAGACCCTCTGGTATGTTGCTGTCCACGTACAAGGAGACATGGAGTCAGTTACACTCTCTCAGTGTAGAATTACTGAGTTATAATATGCTAGAACTGGGAGAGTCCTTAGCAACAATCCAATCCAGTGCTATCAATGGTATAGAATTGGCAACTGGGGCCCAGACACATTCAACTGCAGACAGAGCCAGATCTAGAATTCTGATGCCCTGATTCTAAATCCATTGTTGTTTTTTGTTTTTTGTTTTTCCATAGTTTATCATGGAAAGAGGACATAGAGTGAGCATCCCTGCAAAAGAGCCATTTGCTGTGGCCTTACATTCAGAGAAGTCCTCAGAGTTGGACTTTTGACATGCTCTCCACTGAGGTTCTGCTGCAGTCTTAGTGGCGCACTGACAGGATCGAAAGAAGACCTTCACACACAAGTTTTGTGTGCAGGTCCCGCCGCAAGACCCAGTGTAGGAGCCCTCCCAGTCCCCCATGGTGCCGTGATTTCATACTGTTACTAAATCTAGAATTGTCATGAATCGTGTGATTGTATTGTAATTGTGTGTATGTTGGTGTTTAAAATGTAAATTTTTAAATATATATGGCCTAGAAGCAACAATGCCACAGTAGCAATGAGCACACCTCATGCCCAGATTGTACCATAAAATAAGGATTTGCTAAAAAAAAAAAAAAAAAAGAAACCAAACAAACACACACAAAAAATCCCTGCATTGCTGGGGGATATTTCAGAGACACTGGAGCCATCTGAAGAGCTCCCAATGGCCAAAGCTGCAAAATTTGAGTGACAAGATCGAATAATATTAGATTATAACCCAAAGTATAAAATAAATGTCCACAAGTTTACACAGATATAAATAAATTATGGGAAAAATTAATAAATGGAAGAGACAAATTTCCCATGCAGAAGAATTCCAAATAATTTATGTAGATATTCTTCCCTGAAGGAGGGAGAGTATAATTCCCCTCTCCTTAAGTGTGAGCTGGGCATAGTGACTTTCTTCCCAAGACTGTGGTATGGTAAGGGGAATGGGGGAGGTAATTTTATATGGAGAAACCAGATTAACAGTACATCAGCCAGGACATCAAGGTCAACATCAACAAAGATAAACCACAAACAACAAACAAACAATGATAAACCATGTTGATTGTATGTACCTTTGATATAAGGTGGTGAAATGGGTCTTTACTCTGTGGTCTTCCTCCCATACCTCAGTCTCTTTATGAGAAAAACATCAGACACATTCTAGTAGAGGAGCATCCTACAAAATGCTTGACCAGTACTCCTTAAAACTGTCAACGTCATCAAAAACAAGGAAAGTCTGACAAGTTGCCACAACCAAAAGTAGCCTAAGGAGACATGATAACTTCATGTAAAGTAGTACTTAATGGAAAAAGACAGAAGGTAAATCTAAACAAACCTGAATACATGATGGACTTTAGTTAATAATATTGTGTGAATATTGTTTCATCAATTGTTACGAATGTACCATACTAAGGTGAAATGTTAATAATGGGGGAAACTGGGTACAGGATTGTTCTGTGTACTATCTTCTCATTTTTTGTGTTAAAAAACCAGAAATACACACACACACACACACATATTTATATAATCTCTCTCTCTCTTTCTCTCTTTTTCCCCGCCATACTAGAAGCCTCCAAAAAGTGACCCAGGCTTCTTTTGAAATCTGAGAGGTCCTGCCCCCAAAATAGAGTCTGGAAAATGAGGGAACCTGCCTTTATTCTTTTAATTTACTAAACTGAAAGCAATTTAGCTAATTTCTGTATGTCATCATCTGGATAGAGAACTGTCTGGAGGCACCAAAGGCCAAATGTCATTATAGTAGTAGATGACTCAAGCCACCTCATCAGTCCGCTCATTCAACATTTTTCTGTGGAGATTCTCTATGGAAACAGGGCCTTGAAAAATCTTCACCATCCATCCAAATGAGACACGCAAAACTTGAGGATTCATAACTGAGGTTGGGGGAGCCCCAAGAGCTTCCCAGAATGTCTGCTATTTCATTGTACAACTCCGATAGAACTGTGGATCTCATCAGTGTTGTAACTCTGGGTGTCTAGGGAAAACAGCTGACTGGACCCCGTGACTCTGTGACTTTGTCTTCATCATCTGGATTTGACACTATAACCTAAACTCTCCTCAGCCTTCAACCTATTAGTTCTGCAGTTGAGAAAGGTCCAGAGAGGCAAATGGTTTGCAAAGACCACCCCCAAAGTTAGTGGTAGAGTCGATTCCTGTCAATTGGTCCACCCTGACTCACTTATTTTGCTGCTGTATCCCTTTGGTAAGCTGAACGCTGTTATTACATTGATGTACATTACTTCAGGAATACCTCATTCATTTCTAACCAGTTGTCAGTTACCAACGGTGTCTAGTTCCCATGCTGTACTTGAGTTTTAAGTGTGTCTTCCTTTTTTTCTCTTTTCCCCCATCTATCAACCTCTCTGCCAAGTGGTTAGAAAATCTTTGGACCAATACTTATGTTCACTATGGAGGTTGACATTTAAATAATTCTTGATGGAATGCAATGAGATAATCCTGTCATACTACATTTTGGTTAGCATGACTCTTTTGGTGATCCATTTGGTCACATGTCTCCAGAATCACAAACAGTCCAGCCCTTTGGGTCAGTAATTCTACTTCTAGGAACCCATCTTTGAGGTGCATACAACATACAGGAAAATATTCAAACATGTAGGGGAAAAGTCTTTGAATGAATATAGGTATCTAAGTGTTATATCTAACAACAAAAAATTTGCACAACCTCTATGTCCCGTTGTGACTGACTTGAGGGAAAAGATGTTGGATGGAGAATGATGAAGTATAATCTGACTAATTTTTAAAGATTGGAATTGGAAAATACTTATGGTAACAGATAAAGTGAAAAGAAGTCGGATATATATATATATACACATACTTGTATATATGTATATGGAATATTCATAACTATGTTTAAAAATACTCTTCATAGAAAATAAATGATATAAACAAGAATACACAATAAACAAAAAAAATATTTTGGCTGTCTTAGAGTAGTAGGATTATGAATGATTTTCTCCCTTATTTTTTTCCTTATCTTCCAAATTATGTAATGTTTTTGTATTAGTTTGATATATATATCTATCCATCTTCTATCTATCTATCTATCTATCTATCTATCTATCTATCCATCTTCTACCTATCTATCTATCTATCATCTATCTGTCTATCTATCATCTATCATCTCACAAGCACATACCTACGACACTGAAAAGCCCTAAGTGAAGTCTTTAAACACAACTAGTTGCCTAATTCACAGGTCTGAATGTTTGGCCTAAAGTTAATGCTGCCCACATCTTTAGGACCTATAGCAAAAGTAGAGCAGCCCACTCACTCTAGGAGAAGACCTTTCACTCTGGAAGGCACTTGTCTCAACAACAACAAACAGTACCCTTGCGGAGCACGTTGACCCAAATGAGATTAGGTAGATCTGTAACTCTTTGATCTGTCTCCGCCCCCTGGGTCTTAGTGTGCTTCTCTTGTTTGTTGGTGTTTCACAGCATTTGCAAATGTCAGAGGGTTTCCTTGTTACTTTGCTGTCTCTCTGAGGCCACCCCAGAGCTTTCCTGGTAGATAAGACTGCCTTTTGGAGTTCTCTGGGGGCTACGGGACATGTATTTTTGATTCTTATAACATGTTTGGCTAGTGAATGCTAAGGCAAAAAATTTTTTAAAATAAACTATTCAAAGTTTTGTTTTGTTTTTTTTTTCTTCAGAGAATCACAGCCTATTAGGAACTTTGGGGAGTATACTATTATTTGAATCACTGGTTTTTGGAAAAGGGCATGGCGGTAGACATCAGAATCTAGGGGGTGAGGGTGAGGACCATGCTTCTGATGAGCCCCCTCTTGCCTGAAACCACCAGTGTCATTCCTCACACTCAGCTCACCCTATTCACTCACTCACTCACTCATTCAAACAACACACATGTTCACTGACAGTCTTTCGTGAAGGAGACACTGTGCTAGATGCTGGGGAAACAAATATGAATATAATATGGGACCCTGACCCCAGGGGGCATACAATCTCCTGAGGAAACAGAGACTCAGAAAGGTGCTAAAACTTGCTTTAAGTCATGCAAAAGATAATCCCTGACCCAGGACTGGGCCCCAAGTGTCCTGATTCTGAGCCAAACAAAACTCTGGGGCTTCTTCTCAGATGCTGTGTCCTACTTCCCCCTCTGCCATCAGTGTGAGGCGTTGACACCCCCCTGCCCTTGGGCAGGTTCGGTCTCTGCATTTTTCACCCCATATTGGTTAGAACAAGATGTAACCCAGCCATCTCAAATGTACCATCCAGCAATACCCAATACCCAATGTGGGAAGATCCCCATGAGCCTAGACACACACAGAGCCTCAGCTATCTTCACCCCCACAATCACCAGCTGGGCTCAGTATGCTGACCAGAGCTTTGCCTGGACCTGATTTTTATATCTTCTTGTACCTGACAGGTTCTACCATGAACGGTCAGATCACCCATGCTCTCCCAGAGCACAGAGCATCCAGTAACATCTGCAGCCTGGATATCAGAACCTAACCGCATTCCTAGCAGGATGTGCACACCTAATAGGTGTTGATGCCTACTTAACAATAAGCCCAAGCTCACCTCAACCCTCTGGGCATCCCAGATCTTTGGGTGATAAATGGGCAGATGATCTCTCCAGCTGCCAGCCCTGCATCCAGACCACTTTCCATGGCACTGTAGTCACCGAGACCCAGCCCACCTAGGGCTGGGCCTATTTGCCAGCAGTTGTAACCATTTCCTCTCTGTGGCCAGGCAAGGATGAACTGCATATAATGACACATGCAGAATACCACCAGACAAGATTGCAGCAGTCGTACCATTAGTTAGTCCAGCAGCGTTCAATGTGGGAATGTCAGGGTGCCAAGAACAACCTTACTCTTTGGAGACACTGGCACTACAATGCCAGCCAAGTGTTCAAAAGAAAGTGGGACAGAAAAAAATTACTTCTGACATTAATAAAAGCCAAACTTTGTGAAGGCAGATTAAGAAGACTTGATAGTGGTGATGGCAAATCGAGAAATCAAGTACTTAAGTCCCTCAAATGTTTCCCAGTCTTGTCTCCTACAACCGTTTTCTATGCCAGACTCCGAGGACCCATGCACTTACCTCCACCCCACACCCCTGCCTTGATCTCTGCCTTTCTTCAATAGGCTACACACTCTTCATGGGTAAGAGTACTTCATTTTTGTTTTCCGTGTCTTGTGTCCAATACATTGCTCACTTAGGAAATGTTGGCTAAATTAAAGTTAGGTAGAACTGAAAGAGAATTTGATGTGAAATCTGATGATCTGGGTTCCAGTTAAAGTTCCATAACTGACTAACTTCTGTGGGTCTCGGTTTCTTGTTCTCTAAAATGGTAATTTCTGTTAGACTACCTCACAGGGTTCTCGTGAGAATCAAGGACAATGTCGGCGGAGGGGGGGGGGAGTACTTTGGATATTATAATGCACAGGTCAGAGTAGTTGTTGAATGTTGAATGAATGGACAAACTAATGAGTGAACTATGATAGTTAAGTAAAGCCTTCAGGTTATTCCCTAACAGATTCTGTGACTCAGATTATGTCTG